CAAGCTAAAAATTTTATGGATCTGAAAGAACGTTTTCCGTGAGATAATGCCATTTTTTTACTATTTACTATACAAAACTGATTCCATATAAATAAATAAATAATTCTCACCACGTATTTTTTTAAAGACTCATTCTTTTTTACATTTTCGTTGAATGTTTGAAAGTCTTCCAAATTTTTGAACGGTATAACTAGACCGTGTTCTTCATCAGATGTGACAACGGGGTTAGTTACCATATAAGCCACTAATCCTTGTAATTTTATTATCTCCCCTTGCATTGTTCCGATTTGTTGCGATAATTTGTGATAACAATATCCAACAAAAAATTTTAAAGAATTTAATTAGTTTCCATCTGTAAATAAAATAAAATAATTCTTAAAAAGATGCTGCTTTATATGGTGGCAAGATGTATAAAAATATATAAACGAAAATGAAAGTATGTATATGTATGTAAATGAAAGTATCAATTAAAAATGAAAGAAATTCACAAGGAAAAAAAATTACTTTAAAAAGAGTAATAACAATGACACAAAACTTTTCACAATTTACATAAATAAACTATTCTAAAATAGTTTATTTTTAATTAAAAATCAAACACTAAAAAAATAAAAATTAAAAATTAAAATTAAATTATTCGATAATAATAAAAAGAAAAATACACGATAAATTGTTAACAAGAATACACTTACTTGAAGCATTACGCGACTTATTGCCTAAATTTATGTTACATTTCGACAATTGCTGATCGACGTTTTTCTGATTTACAAAACGCCCTTTATTCAAGCGGGATTGTTTTTTTTAGAACATCTTGCCTTCTGTTTATGGTTTCTTCATTGTCCGTAGAAAACGCATATTCTTTTTGTTGCAATATTTTTAACTTTTTCAAGGCAATTTGATATGTATCTGGAATTACAACTCAAATCAAATACATGTTATATATATGTGTGCGTGTATAACAAAATACACAATACGTAGTTGATCAATAATACTTACTCGCATAACCTCGTACATCCACCTCATGAAGACTCCAATTACCCGGTGCTGGTGCCCAACGTTTCACTAAATCTTGAAGAAGTAAATTTTCTCCCGATAGCTTATAATTATTTAAAAATGGGTATTCGAATTTATCTTCTCCTTCATTATATATTAACCAATCTACCGGCACTACATCAATACTCTTTTTTTCACTTGTATCATTGGAAAATAAAACAACACAATACACTACTTTTCCACTCATTATTAAACGATAATTACACGACGGGCGATTGTTACGAAACTAACAACATACATAAAAACTAACATCATACATGTATTAGTGCATAGAGGCGCAATTCTGCTTCTAATTGATGCTTACCATCAGAATGACGCCTAATTAGCAGCAGTTTATGAAGCCTGCAATTCATTGACACGACTGCATAAACCATCAATCTTAGTTCGTGCTTCATCTAACTCTTCACTCTTCTGTTTTTTTATATTAAATATGTGTTGTTTTTGAATATTTAAAATTTGTTCAAATGTATAGGGTTTGGATAGAAATTTTAATTGCTGAATGCTAACAAAGATAATAGGGAAATATTAAATAAAAGGAGAAAAATAAGATCATGGTGATAGTACTGTTATAAATGAAATAATATGATAATAACGAAAAATTACGTTGATAAAACAAAATATATTGGACTATTGAATTAAAGTGAAAACGCTGTTATTAATTATATTAAAGCAGTTAAGAAAAGAATTTATAGATATAATTATCTTAATTTATCAACAATAGATCGTGACAGTGGGTTAATACTAATAATGACTGATAATATCATGATATCAAATTGCTATTTTATAGCCTCCACATGAAGAACAAATAAGTATTATGGAAGTGGAACAATTTAAATGTTTAGTCATATTATTTCCATGCGAAACAAAGTCTTAATGTGATATAAAGCAAATGATGCATAGTTTTGCTTCTACATGAAATAACATGAGTGTAACTAACAACATACATGTATTAGTGCATAGAGGCGCAATTCTGCTTCTAATTGATGCTTACCATCAGAATGACGCCTAATTAGCAGCAGTTTATGAAGCCTCCAATTCATTGACACGACTGCATAAACCATCAATCTTAGTTCGTGCTTCATCTAACTCTTCACTCTTCTGTTTTTTTATATTAAATATGTGTTGTTTTTGAATATTTAAAATTTGTTCAAATGTATAGGGTTTGGATAGAAATTTTAATTGCTGAATGCTAACAAAGAAAATAGGGAAATATTAAATAAAAGGAGAAAAATAAGATCATGGTGATAGTACTGTTATAAATGAAATAATATGATAATAACGAAAAATTACGTTGATAAAACAAAATATATTGGACTATTGAATTAAAGTGAAAACGCTGTTATTAATTATATTAAAGCAGTTAAGAAAAGAATTTATAGATATAATTATCTTAATTTATCAACAATAGATCGTGACAGTGGGTTAATACAAATAATGACTGATAATATCATGATATCAAATTGCTATTTTATAGCCTCCACATGAAGAACAAATAAGTATTATGGAAGTGGAACAATTTAAATGTTTAGTCATATTATTTCCATGCGAAACAAAGTCTTAATGTGATATAAAGCAAATGATGCATAGTTTTGCTTCTACATGAAATAACATGAGTGTAAAACATGTCATGAAAAAAGTCAAACTTGGCTCAGACAAATATGTACATAATATGAGAAGTTCGTGATAATATACGATATTTGTACAATTTTCAACAATATATGTATATGATAATTATGATTCAAATATCAAATAAGATGAGATCAGAACATTAATCTTGGAATTTTTAAAATGTTGGACTATTCGTTTAGAATTCCCAGATTCAGATCCGATAATGCCCAGAGGAAATGAATTGTTAACCCTCTAACCCGAGTTTTTGATAGAGCCAGTAAAAAAAGTTGGAACAATTTTTTCTAGACTAATTTGACCATAACAAACACTTCTGCATCATTAGATTTTCATTTTGACTTACCGTTTAGCTACCAGGTACAAAAAGGTGAAGATTACTTCAAAGTAATCTTGACGGGTTCAGTGAAAAATTTGATGCAGGTAGATATTTTTATTCTGTATGGTATTTATTGAAAAAAAAAACGAATGAAAGAACAATGGAATGTAGTAGAAATTAATTAGTTTTTGTTATGATATTCTACGAAACAATTTTTGCCCTTAAAGCAACATAAAGCTATATTACATTTGGAGCAAATGCACATAGTTAGCGCCTTTGTTTTGTTTTGGGCACAGAGTTTGCACGTAACACGTTTTTCTGTCCATTGTGGCCAATGATCCATACAGTCAAAACGATTGTCGTCCACTGGATGCACCGCACGTCTTCCAACAGGAAAAGAACCTGGAATCACCTCTGGAGTTGATGGCCGAGAATCGCTTGGCCATGATGGACGGCCATCATGGAGCAATATTTTTACGAAATTGTTGCAATGTCAACAATTTTTCGCTGGGGTCATTCTCATCAGGCGAATCGTGAACTTTCTCTCGGTGTATTCGGCGATAGAGTATGTATGCGTTGGTGGCAGCCATGTCAATAAAATGGTACAACAAATGAGTTGCTGCATCACGAGTTTTTGCGCGAATATGATAGCGGCCCATCAAGCCATCCATCAAGTCCACGCCGCCCATATGTTTGTTATATTCGCTAATGATTTCGGGACAATCAATGTCAATGCGGCCTTGCTTGCGAACAAATTGGCTGGCTTTTCGTGGTTGTTTGGTTGGATTTGTCAAACTGATTTAAAATGGTTTCACACCAACATACGTCGATGCTAAACGAACGACTTTGTTGTCTTTCCACAATACAGTAGTCAGATCAACGCCATATGAGGATGCCACATATCCCTCAGAATATCCTCTTGGTTTATCTTTGATGGCTGTTTCCAAACTCAGCTTACAACCAGGCACTCTGTTCACTCGTATCGTACCAAGACAGAAAATTCCACGAGCGCGCAAATACACCAACAGAGGCAAACTTGTATAAAAGTTGTCGAAGTATACAATGCGATTTGCCATATCCGGGATGGTTCGAGACAATCGCATGACAACATGCGCCGAAGCACCAAGATTTGGATGGCCATCCACGAGTTTGTTGTCTCCAGCACCATTGTAAACTTCGAACCGATAAGCAAATCCAGATGAGTCACATAGAACGAATAATTTCATGCCCCATTTGTGTGGCTTATTGGGCATATACTGCCGCAAATGGTGCACCATCTTCGTACCACACATCTGTTCATCGACGCAAAGTCGAACTGGCTTTGGGATGGAATCGAATCGGTCGTTCAAGATGTTTACGACAATTCTCATCCGGAACAGAGGATCATATCCAGCTTGGCCCTTTTTCGAACTTTCTTGATGAGCTCAAATCGATATTTTCTACATTTTGACTTATTGCATTAAAAAAAATATCGACCCCAACACGTTTTTCATGTAACAAAAGAGAGATAAACAAGAAAAGGTGCGATAAACGGTAAAAACGCGTTGGGGGAAAAAATCACTGAATCCGGCAAATTTGAAGGCAATTTGAAATTACATCGATGTGGTAATTTGAATGTAAAATTATATAAATCAATTTAATAATATAATTACAATCATAAGAGCACATATTATATCTTTGGTATATATATAGGTAAAACAAAGTATTTTGTCTTATAATTATACATTCACTGTTTCTACTTACCACTATATTTCATATACACATATATTGCGCGACATAAGATTTATTTTTGAGCATACAAGATGCTGCACATTTTGTTCGCAAAAATAGGTTCCTATTTTTATATTATTATATGTATTAAAAACAAAAATACTTTATCGATATTTTCTGGTTCTTTATACGTTCCATTTTTTTGTAATATTTTAATATAAGATTTATTTTCTTTTTATGTTGTTGTTTGTGACATGGAAACTCTAGTGGACTACTTTATTTTTAATATCTGAACGATTTATAAATACCACTTTACCAGCAACTTCAATACATCGGCTCGTTTCATACAAGCCATAGCATTGAGTACCATATTATTTAGATCCATATCTTTTACTTCCATCAATTCCCAAGATAAATATGTGCCGTAGGAAAGTAGGCAGTATATCGATCCCTAAAATATATTTTGATAGGAGTATGAATTAGTAAAATTAGTTATGTTTAATCTTTGGTCTAATTGACATACCTTGATAGGAAGATTTCTTTCAAAGACACCATTCCTAAACACTTTAAATTCTTCTAAAAAATCATCCCATATATCTAAATAATTTATGTTATGTAAATAGTGGAAAATGCATATTTTCTTCAGAGAATTTACAATCCGAGGAAAATCCTCTTTCTTAGCATATTTTGGATCTATTTGCTAGAAAGAAAAATTATTTCTGATCAAGAGATGAATTGTTTGGCAACTTTCTACACATGACAAAAATGTAATTCGTACCCCATCCACAATACTTTGCCATACAAGATATGGCTCCATATATACAAATGCGCATTCGTCGACAATGGTCGATATGGCGGCATCGCAATCTGCAACAATGCTTGCCCTTTTATAAAGGCAATGCAAAGTCTTGCTGCAGTTGTCTAACACTATTGTGTCGGTACACTCCTGGGCGATGTTTTGCAGAGCGCCCAATAAATTCCTTAAATGCTGTAAACATAAAACACTAGATTAAAACTAGTAAGTATATATTAAAAAGTTAGAAAATCTACAAATGCAAGATGCATCAACATTCCCATATGCAATTAAAATTTCTGGTTAAAATATAATATACTCCTGCTGGTGGCAATTCAAGCAAAAGACAAGTAATCCTTATAGGTATTCATAGGTACAAAAATTAAAATACTAACCAGATATTCCATCTCACTTGTATTTTCGAGGTCAAAATATTGAGGTATTCTGATCAAATGAATAATACAATTCACATTGGTTTTGAAGCGAGCCAACAGAATTGCTATCACAGGCATTAGATGTTTTGTGATATTTAATTTTTCTTTCTTCATTTGTTTTCTTTGTTTTAAACTTGGGACCTGTATATATGAAAACTAATGAAATTTAGAAATAAAAAATAATGTTTAAACATATAATCAACACACTAGAAGAAGAAACAACTGGATAGTTTTACCCATTTGCGTGTACTGACATTAAAACCAGGGCAGGGTACTTTTACTTGATCGGTTTAGATTTAGTTAATGTTGTACTTCTAATTGGACTCATAAATTATTGCCTTAAACGTTTGACGACTATCATGCTATAATATCACATCAAGGAAACAGATGTGTAGTACTAAAAGCAACAAACTGATTCCCACAAAACTATTCCATTGGTCATGAGTTCATACACCGTCCAAAAATCCAAAAAAAAAATCAAATTGTCTGGAGACCAAGAGCGTTTTGTTTATTTAATTGACCAGGAGAGCAGCTGCATATCAATTAGGTACAGTCCTGTACTTGTAATTATCGACCATATTCGAATTCGTTGAGAATATTGCAACTTGAGATCATTTCTGGAAAATGCTTATCTGTCCGCCCTCTTAAAGTCAGTACATTAAAATAGGTCAAGTTACCTCAGTTTTATATATGCATCATTGCAATGCAATATTACCATGTTATCAGTTGCTCTCTCCCCCGGATATTCACCAGTACTTGAAAGACTTGCACACCAGAACATAATTTCAATTAAAATTTCTTGAAGTTGGGGGATTGGGGTCGCAGGATCATCATTTTCTTGAGTTAAAATATGGATCATCGAATTCCAATCTTTCATTATCTCAATGTTTGCGACTAGGGCATCCACTAGATAAGAAATAAAATTTAATCCCTGAAAAATAATAAAAATAAAGAATAAAGATTCAAAAAAATTATTTATACGACATCCACATGACTATCATATATACATATTTTACTTACTTTCAATTCAATGATGGAAGTTGAAACATGCCTGAACCATCGAACCCCAAACCCGGCCCCATTTGAATCTTCATCCAATTTCAAAAAAACATTATGAAAAAACGTTCCTGCTGCCACTGCAACCTTTCGATTTAGAGAGAACATCAAACTTGAAACCGTGTTCAAGTCTTTCCTGGTGAATAAGTACGGATAGGGCCTGAATGGACAAAAATGGATAATTAATTAGCTATATCAGTCTTAACAGGTAATTACAGGACATTCGTAGAAGTCGGGTTAAGAAGTTGAAGTACACCTTTCGTAATGGGGAAATGCTAAAATATAATAAGCGGCAGTCATTGCAATACCCCAGAAAGGGGCTACAACCCATAGCGTCAACTATTATATATACACATTTATATAATAAAAAATTATAAATTATATATTTATAATAGCATTAAAAATATTTATAATATTTAAAAACAATAATGTAATTAAAGTCATACTTCAAATATGACATGATCGGTTTGTCATTGTAATTATCATTTAGAAATGAACCTTCATTAGAGAAATGAAGATTAATAAATTGTTGATTAATAACTTCTATAATATTTGTTGAGACAGTGGATTATGTCAAACAACGCCTAAACAAATATTGTTTTCGCAACTTCACTCCTCAATTAGAATTAACATACATTCATTTATTGCTGGAATTTTTGTACTTTATCGCTGGCAATATACTATTATTTTTTGAACAGCTGTAATATAAGATTGCTACTACCGCTGGGTGTTTACTGGGTTATCATCATCAAAAGTTTCATGCATATGTCTATTAAGTGAACATTTTTATTCTCAACTCTCACCTGAACATAGCCGTGACAAGCTGCATTGCAATCTCTTGATTGCATCGGCTCTTATCCCAAGTTAAACTTACAAGTCTCCTTTGATATCTATGCGTAAATATTTTCAGTTTGCTTGTTAGCTCATGCTCTTCATATAATGGTATCAATACTTTCAATGATTCTGCTCGAACTGAAGCAGCCTGTAGATATGGAAAAAATCATTATTAGTAACTGCCTGAGGAGATTTTTATGTTCTCTTGACATTTCAAGATCGGCCTTTTCACGAATCCTGAAGAAAGAAGGAAACTGGATTGGACCCGTTCTGTACTAAAGAGTGCCTCCTGCACGACGTCGTGGATGGTAAAATAGAAGGGCTGAAGGGATTGGTAAAGAGAAAATACAGGGTACTGAAAACCGAAGTGCAGGATCAGGAAGCATGGATGAAAGACTACCATTTATTTTATATATATATATATACCTTGTCATAGACAAAAAATGCAATGAGTCGCAAAGTCCACTCATTTAAGAATAGTCCCAGGTGTTTTCTTATCAAGCGGCCGAAATCACGTATGCTCACACTTCTGGTGACAGGTGCGATATTTCTGTAAATAAACTGATCAAGGAATTATGGTAGGTTCAAGGAATTATGGTAGGTGTAACAGCTATTCCTGGTGACATATTTTATTTTATATGGCAAAATGATTGATCTAGTGGTAATATCAAAAAACCAAACCGAGCGGCAAAACATGATGGACAGAATCGTCGAAATGGGTAGAAGATATGGGACGGAAATCAGCATCGACAAATTGGAAGTGATGAGAGTATCAAAACGAGATGATACTCTGAAGATAACAGTAGAAAATCGAAAATTGGAAGACGTTGATCATTTCAAATATTTAGGAAGCATTCTGACCAGAAACGAATACAGCACGAGAAACATCAGGACAAAGATCGCAAGCGCCAAGGTGGAGTTTGCGAAGATGAGAACACTACTGAGAACCAACCAAGTCTCGACTTGTGGATGATATTGATAAAAAATGTTATGTCTAGAGCATAGCTCTTTACGGATCAGGGACATGGACTCTAAGAAAAAGAACTATTTGGAGAGTTTTAAAATGTGGTGCGCAGGAGACAGGTGAATGGAGAAAATAAAGTGGACTGACAAGATAACAAAAGAATAAGTCCATAAAAGACTTCACTGAGAACGATCATGAAAAGAAAAGGAAACTGAATAGGACCTATTCAATTCAATCGAAAAGAGTGCCTCCTACACGACGTGGTCCAAGAATACATAATCCTGAACATATGCTTATTTAAGACATGATATGTTAAAGCAGGAGTCTGCAAACAAAACTTAGCTGTGTTATCCGAGAATTGGCCCAGAAATGTCAAAATATCTTACTTCATGCGTTTATAAATTATATTCCTGTATAGGGACTTGATACACAATTCTAGTTCCCTATACTTTTCATTTAATTTATTCCTTTCTGAGAGAAGGGATTTTAAGCGACTCAGATCACGCCTCGTCTCCTTCGCTTCTTCGGCCTGAATTAGCTTCGAGTACCGATTCATTTCTGAAGCCGCTTGTTGAAGTAACCCTGCCAACTCTGTAGTTATGGACAAGCCTGATTAGATATATAAAAAATCAGTAAATCAAATGGTAATTTTAAAATATTTTTTCAACTCTTTTGCCAATGTATTAATTTTTAATGTCTAGTGATGTTTAAATGTAACTTAAAAAATTTTAATATGTACAAAAATGTCTAGATATACATAAATAAATGTATATGTCACCTACTGGCAAGGGTTAAAAATGTACAAAAATTGAAAAAAATATCTACAAATGGCTACATATTTTTGAAATTGTCTAGAAATGTGTAAAATATATAGAAATCTAAAAATATCTAAAAATCCATAGAAGAGTCTACGTATAAAAATCATTCTCACGAATACAATTTACCTGCCAATGTTGTCGTGTATCGTATATTTTTCTGATCCAATCTTGACAAATGTTTCAAGATTGAGGTCAGATTTTTTATAAAAAATCATTATAAATTATTTCTTTTCCACCCCTATTTATGACATTTTTGAAGAACTGACAAAACTCAATTTTAAAGCTTCTATGTTTTTTATTTTTTGAGAGGAGCAAAGGAAATTCTTCATCTTCCTACAAAAAAAAAACAATAAAAATAATAGAAGTGATACTCTGCAAAAGAAGAAAAACTTTGTTATGTGAAAATGAGATTGCAATGCTTGCGGGCAGTCTGCAAGACCTTTAAAGACTATGCAACACTTTCAAACAGTCTACAATGTTCTAATAAATATTCTACAAATTATGGAATAATCCATAACATTTGAAAAACATTTTACATTCTAAAAAAAATCTAAAACAAAATTCAGCATTCCTAATCTATGGCATTCTAAAACAATCATTATTCAAACATTAGCTCACTTTGCATTGAACATTTAAAGCAACCTTGTTTAAAGACGCCTAAGAAGTTTCACTCGATAGTACATTGTGATATATTGCATTATCTATTATACCTGACAAGTCAATCTGAATCGTTTGAGAACAAGTTTTGGAATAAGTATGTTTGTGAGCCATTTTTTGAGCTTTTGTCGATGTTTTGTCAATAAATGCTGAACCGATTTCAAAAATTTAAAAGCATTTTGAATTAGCACGACCAGGATTGATTTTATTGAATTTTTAACTGGCCCAAGGAGAAACAGTATGGATGGAGGATCTGCTTTTTTCTATAGCAAAGAAAATGAGTTTACCTATACCAGACCAGTGTTTTTTTTAATTATAATTTAATAGAAAGTTCTTGGATTACTGCTATAGCAGAAATTGACACTATGATATATATATATATATATATATATATATATATTGTCTACTTTATTAAATATTTAAACTCACACATAAAATGCTATCACCATGCCTTAATGCTGAATGAAGGCGCACTTCCTCAATTTCAAATTCATCAAAACCTTCAAACATGTCCATTGATAATTATTCCTTGAATACAAGAACACCTGAACTATGGGACAAGTTATTTCCAATCTTCCACAAATTATTTATTGGTTTAACATATATTGCTAAATTTGTGAAGTCATATGATGGAAATGGAGACATGAGATGCAGCATGGATATTATAAAAATAAAAAGCTGAATAAAATCGATCTCGTAGTCACTCCACGATATTTAAAAACGATATTAACAATTTGTATTTACAATTGCAAATATTAAGAAAAATTTGGAGGGTAATTAATTACTATTTACTCATGCAATAAAATACATTTAACTACTTTTTATTATTCAACAGGCAACACATCATGTAATGCTTAAAACGTAATAGTATTCTCTTTGTTGTTGACAAATATTTCTAATTGGAAAACAACAGACACTCTTTTTTTTATATACTTTTTTATATACTTTATTTAATAGCAATCAGAATTTACAAAATTCTATGAGCTACTGTGCTTATGTTTAAACTCACACACAGTCATACAAACACACATAATAGATTGGCTGAATTTTAATAGCTGCCACTCCATCGAGTGGTCAACTAATCTGGCTGAGGTAAATCAATGGCTAAGTCTGGTCTTTATTGATCAATCTTCAAATCAAATGGAACTTTTCTTTTGAGCCTCCTAGATCGGGGTTCTTGAAAAAGATGCTTAACTATTTCATTGGGATGGGATTCCAACTTCTCAAAATGGCGATGACTGGTACTGGTAATTGCATCTCTCACTAATGGTATGCTCAAGTCGTCATGAATAGTTTTATTACTAACATACCATGGAGCGTTCACGATCTGCCTCAGAATTTTTGATTGAGCTCGTTGAATTGAATCAATGTGAGATTTTCTTGCACATCCCCATAATTCCACACCATAGGTCTATATCGGCTTTATTATTGTTTTATATATTAGTAGTTTGCTTTCAATAGGCAATTTTGATTTGTTACCTATGAGCCAGTAGAGTTCCTTAGCTCTATTTTTTACTAGAGCTATTTTTGAAAGTATATGTTGCTTCCAGGTTAGTTTGCTATCTAATATCATCCCGAGATATTTTGTTGAGTGTTTAACTGGAATTGTCTTATCATGAAATTGAACTGCTGGGCAAGAAGATTTGTTGAGTGTAAATATTACATGAGTTGATTTATTATCATTAATTTTTATACGCCATTTGCTAGTCCATTTTTCAATGACTCTTAGATGACTCTGAAGTCTTCTCGATGCAACAACTGAATCAGGATCTGAAGATAGAATAGCAATATCATCGGCAAATGTTGCAGTTGTTAAATTTTCATTTGTAGGAAAATCGCTATTATAGAGCAGGTATAGATATGGACCCAGTACACTTCCTTGAGGGACTCCTGCTTCAACCAAGCAAGCTGATGAAGTTACCATATTAACTTTAACTTTAAACCGTCTATTTTGAAGATACGATTCCAACAATTTATGATACTCAATTGGGAGAGATGATTTTATCTTATACACTAATCCTTTGTGCCATACTTTATCAAAAGCTTGATTTACATCAAATATTTTTGATTGCCACTGGTAGAAGACTAATAGGTCCGTAGGATGATACATTATATGGGTCTTTACCGCTTTTGTGAATCATTTTAACTATTGAAGTTTCATAATGTATTGGCCAATAATTTAGCCTAATTATAGAGTTGAATAGGTATGTTAGTAGGATAAATCCCTTTTTTGGCATTTCCTTCAACAGTTTCGGCGTAATTGAGTCAAAACCAGCGGATTTATTAGTTTTTAGTTTAGCTATTTCTTTGAATACCATATTCAATGCTAACGGGTTTAAATCTAGATCATTTGAAGAGATGCGAACAGGATTTGGTTTAAAAACTGAAGATAGATGTTGGGCGAATAATTCCGCTTTTTCTCCATCGCTCCTTGCCCATGATAGATCATCACCTACTGCTCCTATTATATCGTTACGGCGTAAAGGCGGATTCCTGAGAGCCGGTTTTAGCCTGTTCCTAATCGGTTTCCAGATAGAGTTATCATATCGATTTAAGCTTTGTACATAATTATTGAAACTTTCCTCATTTAGTTCTTTAAGCCGAGATTTAAGCTTATTAGTCAAGTTGTTAAGAATGTTTTTGTCAGACGGTAAATGTGTATGCTGTCATTTGCGCCTAGCTTTACATTTTTCACTTAAAAGTTTTTTTATTTCAAGTGGGATAGAATGTTTTTGATTTTGTTGAGCTATAGGTGTAGCAGCCTTAACAGCTTCCAGCAGAGTTTTGTTGAATGTTGCAATACCATCTTCTATTTCCCGACATATTTTGAGTTTCATTTTTAAATTAGTATTTTTCTCAGTAATTTGGCGATATAGTTCCTTATTAGTTTTAGCAGAATGAGGTTTTGGAGTTCTTTGCAGGTCCATAGCCGAAGAGAATATGGTTGCTATCACGGGGGAATGGTCTGATGAGAGGTCGTAACTAGGTTGTATTTCAACACATTTGAAACTTAGACCATTAGCGACGAAGAACTCTAACAGATCGGGTTTCTTCTTAGGATCGGCTGGCCAGTAGGTGGGTGTGCCCGTTGAAAAGGTGGAGAAACCATGTCGAAGGATCATCTCATACAGTTGTTTACCTTTTGGATTTGATATCCTTGAGCCCCAGAGAGAATGCTTACTGTTAAAGTCACCGCCAGCTATGAACTTTGATCCAAGCATTGAGAAATATTCGTAGAATTGGAAACTGTTAATAATATGTCGAGGTGGACAGTATACGGCAGAAATTATTAAGTTGCTTGAATTTGTTCTTTACAAAAATTTTGCAGCTCATCGTGAACAATATCAGATTTTATTAGAATCGCCGTGCCCCCGTGGGCTGTTCCATCCGGATGAGGTGTGTGGTACAATTCATAGTTCGGGACGTACATATTTGAGTAATGAGTAAAATGTGTTTCACTAACAAGGAGTATATCTATTTTATTCTCGAAATGAAAAAACTGAATCTCATGTTTATGCTTCAAGAGCCCATTTGCATTCCATAACGCAATCCTTATAAACCTCGCCATGGTGTTTACTTTGTTTTATTTATGAAAGCTGATAACATGTTTATGATCATGTTGTTTTGATTCATCAATTGTTGGAACATATTTTTGAATTCATTTAAGAAAATTGTTAAATTTCCAGCAGAGTTTTCACTGGTTGCATTAGCCTGTTGATGAAATTGTTGTGATCTCATAACTTGTGCATAAGTCATATGATGAGAATTTGCATGCCTTATTTGGTCCATGTTCTTAGAAATTGTTGACCCATATTGTTTTTCAATGCGGTTACCGTATGGTCTGTTCATGTGTTCTTCTCTTCTTGCAATAATTTTCTGATATACTGGACACCCTTTAAAATTAGCAGTATGTTCATTCAAACAATTAGCACAAGTAGCTGGAGTTTCTTTAGTCTTAGTACATGACTTAGAGGGATGCTCGTCTCCACATTTAACGCACATGTGTGGCTTATTGCAAAATGTTTTAATGTTATATGCAAATGTTTTAATGTTATAATTTGTGAAGATCGCATCGGTGGTTCAAAGTGTACTATTTTATTTAAAATTTTATTCACAGTAAAAATTTCATAGTTATTCTTTTTCGGTTCTAAATCTACGTAGAACATATTAAGCGGTTCTCTTGATCTATAGTGTATGACGTTAACTATATTACGCACTTTATGTCCATTTTTCTCAATCTCTTGCTTTATTTCTTCAACATTAGTAGTTGAGTGAATATATTTCAAAACAACTCTGTACGCTCTTTCACTTTTTACCTGATAAGTATGATAAGCAACATTGCGTTGTTTCAGAAATTTAACAAAGTTTCTATAGTCTGCTATTGTTGAAACATTAAATTTGATAACGTTGTCAGCCAAGGTTTTTGTTGTGTAACCGTTATCGGGCAAAACCGGTTTTAGAACGTTAATCATATCGGGAAAGTTTGTTACTCCGTGAATGTACACCGGCGGTTGTAATTCCTTTTTTGGCAGAGAATTTGCTTCAGTATTTGCTGATGATGACGATGGTTGATCATTAATTATTGATTTTTCATTATTGGTGAGAACGTTGAATCTGTTAGTCAACTTTATAGTTTCGGTCGGCTTATTAATCCGTCTTCTTTTTGCACTCGTCACAGTTTGCCATGAATTTGTCAAACTGTTTTGCGCAGTATCAGTTTCCATGGCGGCTGAGGAATTTAACATATTTTGAGAGATTTGAATTAATTTTAATCGCAGTTGTTAGGTAACAAAATCCGAGCAAATTTGTAAATCATCATTTAGAACATTATTTACTTCCGTTAGTGGTACGTTCAAAGAGGTGCTCATTGAGTTTCCCGAGGGGAGACTCATGAGTTAAGCAAATAATTTCGCTAATCACTAATAATCACTATTTATTAACACAAAAACTATCACAAGAATTATTTAATTTAAGTATTATATATTACAACTGAACACTGTTTATACTGCAATAGCACAGGTATAAATAGCAGGTAGATATTTTATCTGTACTTAGATCCGACTGGGTCGGCTGCTTGTAACGAACTGTGACAACAGACACTCAAATACATATCAATAATAAATACAAATTAATATATCAATGTGGTAATTTGAATGTAAAATTATATACTATGTATATCAGTATGAATTAAACATTTTGGATATCTTGTAAATATTTATATCTTCCAGTCAATATTTTTCATGCTAGAAATTTCAATAATTTAAATAAATAATTAAACTTTTGGTTCATGAACTGTCAACAGATTTTCTGAAAAGAAAAAAAAATTAATATTTACATAATTATTAAAGAATGAATGTAATTCATAATTATTAAATCATCATATTATTATATTGAAATATTAAATACTAAAGTATTATGACTTGCGTTTGATTTGTCATAAACTATTAGGTTGGTAATTTGAGTTTTCAAACAGCTCAAGAACTGACTGAAGTCGCGATAAAGTGTCAACACGTTTTATTAAAAAAATTAATAGGTATATTATATTTGCATAATGTTTATTTTAATGTTTTAAAACACCATTTTAATTGTTCTTTTGATAATTAAATACTTTAACTAGTGGTGTATGGCATCGTACCTTAAGGAAAATTGCCGGAACTTCTCGTACCGTAACGAAATATTAAATGTTTTCAAATTGATTTCAATAAATACTGTAACATTGTCAAATATTTATAAGTCACCGTCGCAGTACTGTGCGTCAAACACAGGAGTTTTCTTATTAAAATCTATAATTATGGAAACATCGCAGAAACCATCGCCTTTTCTAATTTTGATACGTGCTTTAAAAATTCCTCTGTACTGGGTGTCGTCTCAGTCTCTTCGAATCGACATTGGTATTTCTAAGAGTTTTCCGTTTTCTATCTAGTTCTGTTATATTATCTGGGAAAATGTTTGGAAAATAATATAACAGTTCAGAAATTGATGTGAATTTTTTTCTCAAATCAGTACTCAAAATTACTGCAAATATTATAGTTCTTGTCGTTTTTTATTTTACAATTTACCTCTGCTTTATTTGGTTTGCTGCCTCAATATTAAACTCATTCTCATCTAATCTTTCAGTTTCTCTTTTCAACCGAATTATATTTGGAATCATTCCTCTAGCATATATTTCTAATGAAGATAAATGCATTTGCAAATCGTTTACATCTACGCTTAATACCTTTTGCTGTTTGGCATTCGAAATATTTTCTATCGTATTCAACTCTTTGTTTGAAAGTTTCAAATATATCGGTTGAATGAAACATTCCAAAATTGTCCCATATTTGCTGTGAATATCATCTGATCATATAAAACGTACAACTTTGGTTTTTCTGCCTGCATTTCTACATTCAAATTTACGAATATTGGTAGAGTAAATCGCAGGAATTCCAAATATAATTCTGTTGTCGAGATTAGAGATTATTATTATTAGAGAGATTAGAGATGCTATTTATATATGATATATTGGCGAAACAGGACTAAAACTTCTTAAACGTTTGAAACGACAAACGATGATCGTGACATTTAAAACATAACAACCATACGTTCAATTTTTTGACGCAAAGGTTTTTTTATCATGAGTCGAAAGTCTCACAAAGACGCTATGCGGAATCGATTTTTATTTTCTTAGCCAAACTTAGTATTAATAAGCGAACTGATACTCCCTTTCTATACGAAAATTACCAATATGTTTCAAATAATGTTTCCCAATTTGTATCGAATACCTAACACCGCTCTATGCTTGATGTTACGCCCTTCAAGAAATTAATTTATAGATAACACAAACTTTTTAACAGTCATCTATCCAGATAATGAATAGAAAGAAAACTAAGAGATGTTTCTTAAAATACATTTATTAGATCCATACGGTTCGAGTTCCAATTTGAC